GGAAAATTTCCTGTTTGCTTGGATGTTGTGCCTTTAGCATTTTTTCGTGGTTTTTTTGTGTATTTATTTTTTTGTTTTTCGGATTTTCTTTTTCGTCCGTCATATGTATTTTCTGCCTGATAACTTTTGGTTTCTTTCGCTTGTTTTTCTTCTTCTGATTGCCTTTCTGCCTGAAAATATTCTCCATCCAAAAGCGCTGTGTCGTTTTCGCTTTTCAAAAGCTCTTTATTTTCCATTAAATCATTAAAATTGAAAGAGAGACTATCAGGAAACTTTATTTGAGATGACATTGATTCTGAAGATAAATCTTCGAAAGAGTTGAACCGAGGTAAACTCGATGAAGGCGATTCAATACTAATTTTATTTTCAAAGAATTCTTGGTTTTCCGGTTCTTTTGTTAATTCTTCAATAAGCCTTTTTCTCAACTCCATTACTTGTTCGTTTGTCGTCGATGGATTTATCATTTTGAAAAAAATATTTTTTATATGTTTAATAAAAGATATTTCTTCAATCAATTTTTTTAATTCTTCCTCAATAATTTCCATTCTGTTTATTAGTTGCTGAACGTTTTGAATATTTGCTCTTGGTTTTCGACGAATGCTTGAAAACTTGCATTCCCTTTTACGATCAATACAATTCGTACAGGCTTTTTTTGTTTCAGAGTCTCCATCACACTTTTTTTTATCCCTTTTGCATTTATTACATGCGTTGGAACATATTTTTCCCCTCTTTTTTAAAAGTTTTTTCTGAGAAAGCTCAGATTGATCTTCAACCCATGATAATATTCCATTCTCCGAACTTTCTTGTTGGTTTGTTAGAACCTGTTCCATTATTATAAACCACTATGACTTGAAAAAATAATGCGAAAAAAAGGGTGAAAAAAAAAAGGAAAAACGTAAAAAAGAATTTCTTTATTCCTTTTCTCTTTAACGAGAAAAGAAAATATGCACGTAAAGTTTTTTTTTTTGTTTGAAAAAAATTCTAAATCATTAAAATTTTAATTTCTCTTTTTTTTTTTTTTTTTGGTTTTTAACGTGCAAAAAAAAACTGATATAATTTTAACGTTTTTTTATACCTTTTTTTTTTAAGAATATAAAATATACATAATTTCAAATTGCAAAATGTGATTATTTTGCACCATTATTACAAAAGTTATCACCAATTTGTTTGTTTGTTTTGCGTTCTTAGCGTTGGCAGATTACAGTTATACAATTATGTGACATCTATAAAAATCACACTGTTTTATATCAAAAATATACAGTGCGGGACAGTAGAAAATATCCAATTAAATTTTTTTACAATAAATTATTAAATAAAAAAAATCTTCCAAATTGATAAGTTTCTCAGAGTTTTTTTTTCGAGATGTGGAATCAAACAAAAAACTTTTGTTTCTTTTTGACAATGTTATAAAGGTTCAAGTATTGCCTATTTTACATGTAATTTGAGAATTTGTGTTATATTTTTATTATCATATGAATAATTAATCACGTGAAGTTAACCAATGAAAACCGTCTTGCGATTTACAGATCTTAATATACATCAGATATAGAAAGTAGTTATTTTGTATTGTCCTTACCTTAATTTGGCATTTTTATAAATACGTAGTAAATATTTTATGCTGTCTCTTATGTACTGTATATACGTATAAATATATATGTGCAAATAAACTCATTGAAATTTGTGTTTCATACAAACGTGGGTTACAAAAAGCTGTAAGTGCATAAAATCAATGACCCTAATATTCAACTATTCAACTCCGAAGTCTCCAATGGGGTTAATGCAATAACTATTTGGAATAAGAATTATCAAACTATTCGGAATGTCGGCTTGCTAAATTTAGAATAACAAGAACAATATAGTCATCTACTTCTGAATTAGAATTTTTAACGGTTTTTTTTTTTTTTTTTTTGGTTTTAACTATTGTTTATTATCAATTAATTATACCCAAATTTTTAATAAAATTTAAGTCAAAATTCATAAGTTTCATGCATTGACTATTTCTTTATGCTCCTGTTTTATAAAACAAACCAACATAATTTATAATTTATTATTTGTTTGTAAATAATTTTAAATCTAAAAAAATTAAAAATGTTGTATAGTATTATATAATTTTTAAACTTAAGCTTTAAATTAATAAAAATATTTACAAATACATTACTTACCTGCTTTTAGATTTTTATTAATCGCCGTATTTTTAAAAAAGTTTATCATAAAAATGAATAATACATTTTCATCAGTAGCATTCAACACCATATATACCGTATTTTTTAATAGTTTTTGCTAGTAAAATTTAGAATTAGAAAACCCAAATTATAATAAAGATATAGACTTAAATTTTAGTTAGGGCAAGGTTTTTGGGATGCTAAACATTTTGTTTAGTGTTTCTGATGTATAATATAGCAACTGTGTTAAACATCACTAGTTATAAGTAATTTTTTTATTTTTAAAGATAATATACAGTTTTAAAATAAAATAAAAATTAGATATATATAGTATAAAAGCTTAATTTTTTATTTTAGTAATCTTGCTAGTATTATTTTATTAAAATAATTATATACAAAAACATAAATTTTAAATTTAATATATCTGTATCTAATATTATACAGTATATTTTTATAAATATAGTCAAACCTCTCTATAGTCATACTTTTGATATACAAAAAACTATAATTATAAAGAGGTGTAGCTAATATAAAAATATTTTTTATACATTCATTATAATTCCAACTCTTTCTACCGATCATCAAAACACAAATTTTTACAGAAAAACAAAAACACAAAATCAACAGAACTCAAAAACAGCATTAAGAAGCAAAGCTCACATGACTAAGTAAAAAGAA